TGAAGGCAATGGATGGTGTAATAGTAAGTCCTGGGGGTTCACAAAAAGGCATGAGGTCAGAGTCCACATGAGGTAGACATCCTCCTTCCCCAGCTGCATTCTTGGTCAAAAGGGGACGGCTTAAATCACTTAATTAGTTGTCTGTCTGGAACTTTCTCCCAATTTTATGTCTACTGGAATAATTGCCAATAAAGACACAGCTGAGTTCTGTCCTAGCAATGTGATGAAAGGGGGATTGGGAGTGGGATTGGATCCCATTGCTTTGGCCCTTCACTTTACTCAACACATATGTATTTAGAGGCTCTTTCTACATATAGTAATGCCAATGAGCTAAAGTCCTAAACTGTGCCCTCAGAAAAATCTTTGACATGAATCATAATAATATATCTGTTGTGTCCGGAGCCTGCAGAAGCAGGCTCGGGATGTTGCAATGGTCCCGGGTTGCTGCAAGCTGCCCGGGACCAGACAGCGCGGTGCCAGCCTCGTGCGCATGCGCAAGGCGCGAAAACGTGCCAATCAGCTGTTTCGGATTGCCCGGGGATCCGGGCATACTTAAGAGGCCTGAGAGCCTCGTAATTGTTGTTGGTTCTGTTGTAGAAGTGAATAAAGAGCTGAGATGTTGCAGAATGAGTCTCCAAGCCTCTGATTCTTCTAAGGACTTAACAATATCCATAATAACATATGAGAACTATGGAAGGCACGAGGATTTAGTATAAAAAGGATAGCAGCAATTCTGTTCTCTTTCCTGTTTTTTATAACATGCTAATATACCATGGTAGCATTTTTTATGTTACCAATCAGGGCTAACTTCAGTATAGTTTATCCAGGAAGAAGAACTTCTAGAGAAAAAGAACTCCAGGTTGCAGTCATGATTCCACATATATATTTGCAGTTGAGTGTCACACCATGGGAATAACTCAAGTTAGGCTCCAAAGTTAACATAGCTCTAGAATGTTAAGATCCTGCTAATCAAAGCTGTTAGAGGAAAAGCTGGAGAACGCATCTATCATGTTCCAGATGTTGTCATTTCTTCTATACCTAGTCAAAGAAATTATAGTTATATATGTGTCTGTATCTACTTTTCTTATTGAATTTTAAAGCATTTATAGTCTACTCTTCACTTTTCTCTCCCGGACATAAAATAGTAAGAATGGAAATCCTTGACATCAGACTTGCTCATAGAAAATATGTTGCAGAAGGAAAATAAAATGAGCAGGAAAAAAAAAACAATGCTGACTAAGGAGTTATGGGAACTGAAAGTTCAACATGTTTGGAAGCCAAAAAATTGCAGAAGCTGGAAAGACAGATCCTGTGAAAATAACCCTCTTTGGTTAAAGAACATGCCAGTTCTGAAATGTTGAATATGGTAGGATATGAAGAATGGAAGCTGTAGGAGATGTAATGTTGATTTCTATGTTGGCTAACACATCTGGACAGCAATAATTTGACAGCTGCTTCATAAAGGAGTCATTTCTGAATGATGAGGTTTCCATTGTTATTGTCCCAGTCTTTTGTTCTCTCAGCTTCAGATCTTCCAGTGACTCAAAAATAATTCATAAGAGTGAAAGGCCCTGGATAATCATTTGATATTCAAGAGCTGTTTTTAAAGAAAAGAAAAGAAAAGAAAAGAAATCTAACAGTCAGTATAGGCCCTGACCAGGGAAGAATGTGAATCTATTTCCCTGATCAGGGATGGACAACTGTGCCTTCCAGATGTTCTTGTTAGTATAACCTATAATCAGAGTTGATGGTTAAAGTTGTAACAGCAATATTTGGAAGGTGGGCTGCTTAAATTTCCACTCTGTAATGAAAAATTAGAATGGGCAAGATCTGTTTCTTTAGTTGGATTTAAGTTTGAAATAATTAGATACAAAACTGCATTTTTTCATTTTTAAATCAAGTGTACATCAATTTTCCCTTTTCCACTTCATTTCTTTTAAGTCATGTTTTTGCCCATCCTGTATATTTCTTCAAGAATATATGTAAAGGTCAGAAAATCATTGAAGAATAATATCTCAACAGGAGGCAAAAAAAAAATCTCTTTGGGAAAGACCACCCAGAGGTTTCTTGCCAAGGAACAGGAGAAGCTTTTGAGATTGGGTCCATGTGGACTGGAGGAGGGTTGAATTAAGCCAATGGACTGGAGAACTCCCATCCTTGCTTTCATCACTTGATCTAAAGTTACTACGTACTTGTAAAAAGGGACTCCTCCTGAGTTTTGGTGCTCCAGACTACAGCTAGAGATTACTACAGGATGGAAAGCTTCCTTCCACTAAGTTCATTCACAAGTAGGTGCTGAAAACTGTTGGTTCAACAGCACATGTAAATGCATTTAGCAAGGAGTTAGAACATCACACTCATGCTTGAAATGGCAAGTTAAAAAGACTCATTACAACTTCCTAAATGAGTATACTCTCCTGCCTGTAATATAACAAGAGACAGTTTACAAAAAAGCTAGACTTTCTTTAACTGAAGCATCAATCTTTTGCCAATGCAAAATTGGAGTCCTATTCAAACAACGTGGAGGCCAACCAATTATTTCCTATACTGTATGTCTTAGGCTGGGACTTATTTTGAATGAAAGAGCTTAAACGTGTTTTTAATTTTTTTCTTTTCTTTTCCTGAAGTTGTAATCAAAGTGTCTTTATTCATTTTACCTTTTTTGAAGAATGGCAAATCATTACACATCCAGGCAAGAAGAGATTAACTCTCGCTGAACACTTTTTGTTGCTGTTTTTTATTCTGGAGGTTATAGGGGGTTGGTAAATGAAGTGATATGACTGCAGAAAATGATGCTTATCTCCATCCATCCATCCATCCATCCATTTCCAATTGCCAATATAGAAAGAAAGAAGAGAGGTAAATAAAATGAATATTTGTTCACCATTTTCAAATATAAACATCTCAGGCTTAAGTTCACTGAGTTGTTCTGAGCAAATGTTCTAAATGATCACACAAAAGATTTAAAAAAAAATCTCCTGTAATTGTAGTTCTGTACGCTTACAGTATTTCAATGCAGAATACACTTTTGGTTATTCTCTATTACAGTTTTGCTTTTTTTGACATATTTCAACGGACAAAAGTAAAAATTAATTGAAGTTAGTTAATAAAATTAAGACACTTCTCTTCAAATGTAATAGTATTCTTAGTTAGCTTATTGTGAACATATGAAGTTGCTTTGTTCTGGGGTGGCTCCCTGGTGTTTCTAGCTCTGATAATGATTTCTAGCATATTAGATAGACTCATCAATCCCAATAACACAAGAAAGAATTCCAAGATTCTTTAAATACTTATTTTGGTTGAAGCTGTTGTGGTCTGCAGTTCATTTCATTAAATCGATGAACTGTCATATTGAATTAAATATTTATGCAGCATGGCTATAAGCCAGCACTGCTTTCCACACAAAAGGCTTTCTAAGTCCAGACATCTCCAGGTTGAGCTTGGAAAGGATTTTGCCTGAAATTATGGAGAATTACTGACAGGTAGGTTAGACTAGGAAGTTAAAAAAAGACAAGACCCCAAAAGAAAGCAATATCAAGCCACTTCTTCAACACTGCTAAGAAAACTGCATTAGTATAGTTATCAGGAGTTGAGCTTGGTTCAGAGACATCTTTATTGATCAGTTAACTGGTTAACCGGTTGTCTATAAGGTAAAGCCGTATGTTTGTGGGTTTTTTTGCATCTGTCAACTGCTCTTGACATTTTAATCCAGCAGAACTGTTCGCATTCAAATTAAAAAATATAGTAAAGTACTGACTGATTGATTTTATTTAAAGGATTTATATAGCCATCCATCTTAAGGAACTCTGGGCAGCTTACAATTCAAACAAACATTACATCAATATCAATGAAAATGCTGTAAGATGCACACCAACAGCTCTCACAAAGCAGTGGGTGATGCTCACAGTAGTTTATCTGCTCTGCAAAGGACAGGCAACAATTTCAGTTTTCACTGGAGAGGAAAACGAAGCATAGTTTGTACACATGAAGTGTCTGCAGATATTACTATAGTCCAGTGATGGCGAACCTTTAAGAGACTGAGTGCCCAAACTGCAACCCAAAACCCACTTATGCATCGTTGAGTGCAGGGTTAGCTGGGTGTGGCCCATTGGGTGGGCTTGGCTGCGATGGTAACGGCAGACTGGGTGGGACTATAAAGTTCAACCAGTCAGTTCCAACTTTGCAAGAACTTCCCCCCCCCAGAAGTTGAAATTGACTGATTGAACCTTTTTTTTTTTTTTTGCACATGGCAGTGGAGGCCTAAAGAGAAAAGGTTTTATAAAACCCAGCTGAAGGCCTGGGGCTGGAGCGACGACGCGCGTGCCCACAGAGAGGGCTCTGAGTGCCGCCTCTGGCACCCGTGCCATAGGTTTGCCACCACTGCTATAGTCAGTTCCTATGAAGACTGCCCACGATTCACTTTGGGAGGTGGCAGTTGTATATCCCCACCACCCCCACAGCCTGGCAGGGAGACTCCTGAGGTATTGAAGCAGACAATCCTTCACTTCATTATAGAGCTTGCTTTTCCGCCCCCAACCAATATCATGTGCCCATGTGTCCTTCCTCTCCTCTCTCTTAATCAGGGACAATTTCTCTTTGTCGCTCTGAGCCAGGAGCTGTAACATATGCCAGTTTCCTGGACTCTTTCCTACCCCCCCCCTTCTTCTGGGATACTGTCAGAAAATAGATCCTCTTCATCTCAGTATCTCCCAGGCTGGTGCATGGGCTCTCTCTAGGCACTGTGCCACCTAGGTTGGGAGCAATGGCCTTCCCTCCCTGAGGTGTAATGTTGCGGGTAATGGTGTGTGTGTGAGAGAGAGAGAAAGAGAAAGGGGTTGAGGGAGGGGGAGAGAGAGGGAGGGAGGGAGGGAGGGAGGGAGGGAGAGAGAGAGGCACCCACATGAAGAAAGGTACTTCAGGCAGGCCTAGGGGAGGGAGGGAGGGAGGAGCAGCGGCAGCCGAGAGGGTGAGCCAACCAGTCTGTTCCACTCTCTGTGGTGCCCGCTGTGGAGCTTGCAGTTGGGCACGGGGAGGATGGCTTGAACCTCGCTGCCCGGTTGGTGTCCAGGGCAGAGACTGGGGGTCGGAATCACCCATCCTCACCGCGAGAGCCTGGTTGGATGGGATGTACGGTGAATCTCGGGTGCTGTGAGGGAACCCCTCGCCCCCTGCTATCTTTTGCGCCCCTGAGGCGGGAAGCGCAAGCCCCAAAGCAGCCGGGCAAAAGGAAGAGGAAACAGCTGTCAAGGGTAAGTAGAGAGAGCCGTCCGGCAGCGCTCCGGAGGACGTGGAGGACCGCTCCAAGCCACGAGAGGCTGCGCGTGTGGAGCCGCCGAGGGAAGCAGCTGGAGGCGGGCTGAGGGCTAGGTCGGCAGAGGGAGAGCTCTGGCGGCGGCGCAACAGGGAAACTGAACGGGAAGTTTCTCCCAGCCTGGAAAGAGGTCTGAGCAGAGAGGAGGCGGAGAGTCTGCATCTGGATCGCCTTCGGTCATCCTCGGGGCGTCCTTTTGTTGCGTCGGCATAGCGGCCAGTTCGATGGTGCTCTAGTCTAAAACGCTGCGCGTCCCTAGCGAGGAGCAGGAGCTGAATTATCCGAGGTAGCGCAGGAGGTACGGAGGAAGAGGAAAACAAGAGTAGCAGGATTGAAAGTGAAGGGGGTGGGTGGGGGGCTGTTTCATATGTCCGGAGGGGAAAAAAAGAAACTACAGGGAGTCTTAACTTACCACGACAACTGAGCTCAAAACTGATGTTGTTAAGTGAGAAATTTGTTAAGTGAGTTTTGCCCCGTTTTACAACTTTTCTGGCCACATTTGTTAAACGAATCGCTGCAGTTCTTAAATTAGTAACATGGTTGTTAAGTGAATCTGGTTTCCCCATGGACTTTGCTTATCAGAAGGTCCCAAAAGGGGATCACAGGACGCCGGGATACGGCAACTGTCATAAATGTGAGTCAGTTGTCAAAGCATCCCAATATAATGCACGTGACCATGGGGATGCTGCAATGGTCATAAATGTGAAAAATGGTCATAAGTGTGAAAAATGGTCATAAGTGTGAAAAGGGTCATAAGTCACTTTTTAAAGTGCCATTCTAATTTTGAATGGTCACTAAATGAACTGTTGTAAGTCGAGGACAACCTGTAAAAGAAGGGCAAGACAAGAATCATTTACATAGAGACTGGACAACCATTTGTCTGAAATGGTACTATATAGGGTCTCAGCTCAAGCAGGGGGTTGGACTAGAAGATCTCCAAGACCCCTTCCAACTCTTTTGTTCTGTTATAAGCATCCTTCTCAAGTACTATTGCTTTGTTTGGCAGTGGGCCCCATTGGCATATTCCTCCCTCTCTGTGTTAATGGCACACAAGGTAGTTCGAACTGGGGGGGGGGAGTATTCTGTTGGCTACTTCAGAAACATCTAAGTGAATTACGGGATTCCCTACTTTCTGCAATAGAATGGCATGCTTATCTGTGCCACATGTTTAAATGAACAAAAATAGATGGGCAGACACAGGAAGTCTGGAAAGAATTAAAATATAATTGGGAGCAAGTTTCTCAGCCAATTCTAAATTTGGGGTTATTTTGTAGTTTACACAATTTTGGACATTTTGGAATACATCATCATAACCATTGTATAGTCCTCAATATAATTGGTCAGAACATGTAGTGATGATTTTAGATACTAGAAAAGTTTGGTCTATTGGTTAAGGCACTAGACTAGACACCAGGAGATAGTGAATTCTAGTTCTGCTTTAGGCATGAAAGTTGGGTGACTTTGGGTCTGTCACTCTCTCTCAGCCAAATCCACCACACGGCTGTTATTGTGTAGAACAGGGGTCCCCAACCCCCGGTCTGTGGATCAGTACTGGGCCACGGCATGCCAGCAACTGGTCCACACAAACAAGCAAAGCCCCATCCGTGAGATGCAAGCAGCACACAAAATCATGTACTCTCCGGTCCATGGAAAAACCTCTCTCATCACAGAACTAGTCCCTAGTGCCCAAAAGATTGGGGACCTCTGGTGTAGAAAATAAGAGGAGGAAGAAGTATTAGATATGTTTGCTGCCTTGAGTTATTTATAAAAATAAATAAAAGTGGGATAAAAAAAATCTGTCCCCTTCCCTCAGGTAATTTCCCTTTTGGAAGTTTATGGGCATTCCTCGATTAAACAATCTGTTTGATAAACAGGCTAATGTGAAAGATAGCTTGCCTACAACCACTGGGAAAGAAGATCCCAGGAGATTTTAATTTTCCTGTGGTCTTAGGTGCCCTGTCAATGTATACCATATCATAATGAGAGATCTAATGGACAGTGACCTTGTGATAATGAATGAACTATGTGGGCCTTAAAATTTACCTCAGAATACTTCATGATGTGCAACAAGTCCAGCAGCTATCACTGTTAAAAGGACTCCCATCTAGGTAGAGCAGTTAAAAAAATATTGCAAGAGCAGTTAAAAAAATATTGCAAGAGGTTGATAACTGCTGAAATATTTCAGAGAAGTTCTTTTTTTCCTTGACTAAATATCATCAAAATATTGGAAGTAAGTAGAAAGGCATTATGGTATATTTGCCGTTACCTGGGGAGGTCCGGATTCAAAACCAGATCATATGAGCAAGTTGTCTCTCTCTTCCTTTTTAAAAAATCCTATCTCTCAAGGCTCTTTGAGAATAACCTGGTCTTTATTTAGGTATGCAGCTGTGAAGAACATTGGGGTGAAGCCAAGATAAATAAAACCTACAAAGGGAGCAGCTGTTGAACCTTCTGAAATGCTCATAAAGTATCTATAAGGCTTTTAGTTTAATCCAGCGTAGAGCTGTGGAGATCCTATGTAGAGCTATTTATGCACACACACACACATACACACACAAAGCACACACTTCAAATATGTTAAGAAGTGTTGTTGCAGAATGTCCTTCAGGAATGCCTAGAAAATGAAATGTGTGGGGTTCTTTTTGATGGGATCAAGGGAAAACATTTGAGAAGATTCTTGGCAGCCTCCGGCTACCTTGTCCTTTCTCCTGATTAAGCCATCCGTGGTTGTGGGGGAGTGTCAGGGAATACGATCCCCCAGGGAAACAGTCTCTGAGTCATTAGCAGACAAATATGATCCTCCACACTCATCACCTCGCTTATCACCACATATTATGCAGCATTTCTCTGTGTGCAAACGGAAACCTACAGGCAATTGGCCCGTTGCCCTCTCAGGTACTTACAGCTAATGCAGACATTTCCCAGATTTCTTCTCTGTGATTTGCTGACCAACATGCTAACCCACCTAAAATACTCACACCATAAGTAGAATACCCACCAGCAGTCCCTGCTGAGCCGCTTAATGTATAGTTCAGTGATTGGTTTCATGTGTTGCACGCCAAAGGTTTCAAGTTCAAGCCTTGGTTTCCCCAGGTGCAGATGGAACAAAATGTGCACCTGGAAGGTGGAGAGCTATTGCCATCCTGTGCCAGCAATACTGAGCTAGGCTCTGATGAGGTCCAGTATTATTGCATTGTCTCTGCCAAGGTTCTTCTAGTGCTGGTCTGGCTCTCTTCTTCAGAAGACTAGGGGGAAAGGGTTGGCTTTATAGATGCCCAAAGTTTGACCACAAAAAAAATCCCTCTTAGTTAACTCTGATTTGTTTCACAGTTGTTTAATTTTCAAAAGCAAGCATGAAGTGGCATCTTCTGTGCCAATTTATAGTCTGTTTAGCTCAATCTGCTGTTGTTTCTGAATGATTTTTGTTAATAAAGAATACAGTAAGCAGAAATCAAGGAATGTTTCCCCTGGGTGGCACAATGCAGTTGGGCTAATTTCCTGCAATTATGCTATTAGCTTGAGCAGTCTTAGTAGATGTATGGGATATTTAACTCTTTACTTGCTTATCCAGCATTGCCCCATAGAAAGGATTCTGAAGACTTGCTCAAGGTTGACAAATTGTTGATAGCTGATAAGAATGCTTATATAGAGACACTTACAAGCCATACACTTACAGATTGTATATCCCAAAAGGCAAGAGCTAAATAATTTGAATAAAGAAATAATATTCCTGGTGCTCTGGTCTGGCCATGAGAGTATTCTGTTCTTTTGAGAATCTAGATTCTTCCTGCTGCATTGGGATTTCTTCTCTTTGGCACAAGAACAATCTCTTTTCAAAGTATAAGGGAGCTTTTGTGTTCAACCAGATTAGCCGAGATATTTATATTGGGGTTGAAAGCTTTAACTGATAGAACTCTCCTTCTTACTCAGAGCACTATGCTCAAGAACAACCTTGGATATTTATTCTGCGCCAGGAAAGAACAGAATGGGAGAAAGATAACCTTAATTTGCACCAGGCCAAGAATCTGCTTTGAACTTCAAAGCTGATTCTGTGTTAATGCCAAGTTAACCTTTGAATGTGTGCAGAATGCTTTGTCCCCTTGCCAAGAAACATCCTTGGCCTGTCCACATAATTAAAGTATCAAGAAGCCAGGTGGTGCCACACTTCTGGCACCAGATGGCATACTTGGGGGCAACCTTGATTTCTACTTATTCTTCCCTCCTTTCTATCCTCTTGATTTAGCATTAGGCAGTTGACATCCTAGCAAAGAATGATGGTTTGTCTGTCTGCACACAGGCTGGGCACATTTTTCCCTGAGGCTAAATTGGTTTGTTCTGAAATTAATTTCACTGCTTTCTGATTAATCTCAGCCTGACTTTCCTTTTTGCTTTGAGACATCCCATTTGCTGTAGGAATCATTAGGATCCCCTACGCTTATGGGAGGGGTATGAGAGAAGAGAAAGAAGGAGAGACACAATCAGTGTACCAGAACTGCTTTGGCTTCAATATTGGGCCTGTGGGATAAAATAAAACATAGGAAAACCATTTCTTTTCAGAAGATGTCAGTTATAAAGCCTAATGCCCTCCCCCCTGTGTCATTTTTTAAAAAATTATGTCCAGTTGATCAGATTATCCAATTTCAGATACATCTTCTTTCTTTTGAGTTCTGTTCAATAATGTCCTATATTGATGGATTCACAATTGACCAATCACAGTCAGCGGATAGCCCTCAATGGAACTATATCAACATGGAAGGAAGCGTGCTGTGGGGTATCTCAAGATTCGTTCTAGGGCCCAATATTCATCAACATCTTCATAAATAATCTATATGAGGGGATGGGAGCGGAACTCATCAAATTTGCAGATAATAATAATAGTAGTAGTAGTAGTAGTAGTAGTAGTAGTAGTAGTAGTAATAATAATAATGATGTTGGAAG